TACCACAATGTAATTTTTCATTAGGGTTGATTATAGCAGTTTGGCCCTCCCATTTTAATTTTCTTAATGTATTATTATTACCACTATTTTAACTAGAAGGACTGTGCAGAACTTTTCCTGGAGTTTTTAAGCATTTATTTAGACTTGCATCATTGCCCAAGACCACAATTTGAATCTGTCAAGCCTCATCCCACAATCTTTTACTCCCCTAAACGCTGCTTATATTTGATTCTGTCCTGAGAAGGAGTCTAACCAAACAATTTTCAGCATGCAAGTACCCTAAAATGTAGTTAAACATTACTAGAGGAGACGGCACTGGGTGATGAATAGGCAAGCAGGGTAACCTGACCCCTGAGAGCTTACACATCCCCTTTTTGTTTGTTTGTTTGTTCTGCTGAACTTTCCTGGAGTTTCAGCTGCAGGAAAACCCTGGGCCTTATTGTGCTAGAAAAAGTCATGAAAATGCTTTCATTCCTATCACCACTTTGATCATTTGTGCATGTATTTTCTGACAAGAGATTATTCTAGCTGCAAGCTGTCATAGAGAAAATACATTCAAGTTTCTTCCATCTGATTTTCTTCCATGAAAGAGAAATTGTGTTTGGGTGTCGTGCCGTTCCCCCTGCTTTTGCTCACTGCTTATCCTGCCTCTCTGATAAAGGTCAAAAGCAGGTAATATATGTTGAAATTTCCACAGAGCGGGGTAAGCTCTGAGGTTGTTGACTTTGATATCAGTTTTCTTCCACCTGGAGGGGGTGGGAAATCACTCCAGCTTCACATTGATTTTTCATGGAAATTCACCGATTTCTCCTAGTTTAAGAACTGGTCTCTGATTTCTTCCTGATTATCATATCCCGCTGCCCCCCACATGAAGTACTGCTTTGTTTCAGGTCAGGGTGATGATATCCTTGTTACTGCACTGAGCACGGGGCAAAACCCTCAATTTTCTAGAATACTGGTGCTGAATGACAGAGGTTACTTCAGGAAAAAGACAAAACACCAACCCCTAACAAACACACCTTAATAAGAAGGGAAAATAATGAAAGGCAAAGTTGCATAAAGCTTGAAATGGGAATGCAATGTGCCTGTGCCTTCGTGCAGAAGGTGCTAATAAGCTTGGGGTTGCAGAATTAACCACGGTCAGGACTTTAAATACTCCTTTTACAAATCACCCTTTCCTCTGCCTGTGCTGTTCTGTTTGAGCTTTCTCTTTCTTCCCTAGCTTCAGCCCTTCTGCTTTTAGCTGCAAACTAATACAAGAGAACAAAACTTGTTTGCATTCCTGCAACTTTGGATAACACAACATGAAGTGATGGAATGAGCCACATAATTTTATGGTCCCCCCGACACTGCAAGGGGCAAAAATAGCTTTTAAACAAACAAATTTGTGGTCGTCAACATGCTTAATTATTGCAGAATTGGATTAGGATGGTTCCATTGGGCTCCCAAGAGTTAAAGTCACTTTTCTTCAGGTATATTGATGTAGGTGTTGGTATTAATTCACCCTTTTGGGCTCTTGCAGATGCTATGGTGAAAGTATTTAAAACTTATGCCTTAAAATGTTTCTGGGACATGAACTCTTAATTTATTATTGTGGGAGTCTAGAAATCTAAAGGAATTAATTAAAATCTTATTAATTATCATTTACTCACATATTCAAGTAGAAGTGTTGATATGTGATCATTACATTTAAGAAAAAAAAAAGAAGAAAAAAAGGCTTTGAAAACTTCAGTTGTAAAAATAGGTAGAATATTCACTCCCATGAGAGCACAGGAAAGCAGTTGGGTTATTAAAAGAAATCCAACAAACCAGACTAAACCAGCTAATTAAACCAGAGAAAGAAAGCTACAGTAAAAAGAAGAAAAAAGTGTGTATGTGGGGGGGAAATGTGCTGTAAGAAGTTTTCATAGAAATTTTCTAGAAAATTTATTTCTAGATAAAACAAATGATTTAAAATCTATTTAGCCAATAGTATGAGAAAATATTTCATCATAAGATAGACATAATTTTTATAGATATTTCATCAAGCTAACATTTCTAAGACTGTTTACCAGTCACAACTTTGACAAATACACAATTCATCCTTTGTGAATGTTTTAAACCCAATCAAGTGAAGTCTATGTTTAAATACTGATGAAAATACAGATTTAATTCTTTAGAGCATTTTTCCCAAATGAATATAAATGTGAAGTTTGCCCTTTAAATTAAATGACAGCAAGAAGTCAGGGGAAAATAAAACAAAACAAACAGTTTGGGACTGATTCAGCTCTTGCTAACCTCATTATAAATAAGAGACTGTCTCTAATTTAGGTAATAAGATTTCACCAGTGTAAATTGAATTAGACTAATTATTTTATGATTAAAATGATCCCTATCTTTGCAAACAAAATAAAGGGTTTGTTTTTAACAATTGCAGGATTTTTCAAATTGAAAAAAAAAAGAAAGTTGACATGAGATGTAAAAGCATAACTCCCACGGACAGAGTGTTACTGTGAGAAAAAAAATATTTTTCTTAATTGGTTTATATTTAAATCTTTATTTTCAGAATTTTAATTAATTTCTAAAATGCCCTCTATAATCTCTCACATCAAAACCAATTTGGGCTATATATATTAAAAAAGTGTTTATTTCTTATTGTCATCATTCCTTTGCGCAGCACAGAACATATCCACAGTTTGCAAGTGTGTAAAATTAATTTGCCAAAGTGTGAAACTATCCCAAAAGATAAGGGATGAATTATCAGGTGTTTGAACCTTTAGAAAACAGGAAAGGGTCGTGTTTAATCTGTTATACATTATGTTTGTTATGTTTTTTAAGTGTTCTGTAGTAACCAATTATTTTTATAATGCCTCTAATTGCATAAAAAGCAGATATGATATGCACGGTTCAGGGCAAGAAAGCATTGATTTTCATTCTCGATACAGAAACTCACCCGATAAACTTATTAAGCTGTGCGTTGATGAAGCAAATTGTACTATAAGTACATAACAAGTGCTGAAAAGATAAATACGCTTTCAATTGCAACGCAAATACACGTCCCTGCTGCAGTAGTTGACCAGTACATGCAGCCGCTTCTCCCTGCACGGCCAAACTAGCAATGCCACCTAACGGGGAGCCAGCACCTCGCACAACATGAGCAGTCATTTGCCTTGATAGCAATCTTCGTTTTGCTTTAACAGCTTTGAAAAAAAGCTTTACAAAGCAATAGTTTCAGTGGAAGAATAACATAATGCTGTAGCAAAGGCTGGACAAATATTTTGATGGTCTTGCTAGATGTCAACACTTGAAATGAGTAGCGTTGTCTCAACCCATCCCTGTCTCATGGGCAGGCAGATACACGTGGCCCCTAATGTACAAGTCTTGGTTTTATATGGGGTGTACAGCTTATATTTATTATCTTCATCGAAATACCCCATTCCTATTAGGCAAAAACCTTGTAGATGTGACCTGGTTGCAAAGCAATAGTACACTTGGATGCACTAATGAAAATACACATGGATGCACTAATCCCTGCTCTCTGACGCATGGTCATGACACGCTTTCATCTTCCCCGTCACTCTCCCCTCCATGCTCCATCTCACGCATCCCAACATGCACAGGCACAAGCATACACGGCTGCTCACACATGTCCGTTTGCAACCAGATGCACAGACAAGAACTGAGGGGTGCAGAGACAGAGGATAAATATGGCCTTGTCTTAAGATGGTCTTTGCACATTGTATCTGCTTTCTGCAGCATTAGAATGATGTGTGCATGCACCTCCCCAGGGATGCTTTTATGTATATACCCATTGGCAGGCATGCATCACTAACACATGCATGGTTACCTATACACCCATATACGTATATAGGGGTGAACTTTGTTGTGTTTTCACTGCTGCAGCAAATGAAGTTTGACCAGCTTTTGGGAATGACTCCCAAACCAGGTCCTAATTTGAAGATGATTTAAGATTTCCACCCTACTTAAATACCCTTGGATGTAAGACTATTAGAAAGCAGTTTGGATTTTGCTCTCCCCTTTCCTCACTGTAGCTGAACAAAGCACCGTTCTCTCTGACTCGTCTGTATTTTCCTTTACAATGTACCCAGGATTTTCCCCTAATTTATTTCTGTAGGGCCTGATCCAAAGCTCCCGCTGATTTCAGGAGGTTTGGGATAGGGCCCTGCTCTTCTTCAGCTCTTGACCTGCTGCAGCCAGTCTGAAGTCAGTGCTAATTTGAATGATAAACATCAGGCCACACACATAAAAAATACTTTAAAGGAAGGCTTTTTGGGGAAAAATTTCTATAATATTTTAATAGAATGTGTTCTGCGTATTGCCAAGGTTTGCATCCCACACACTGCTATTTCAAGCATATTTTAGTATGTTAAAGTTAGGGATAAAAGTCAACTATAAGGTACAGTTTTAAAAGCAGCAGGATTAAATGCAGCAGTTAGAGACAGTGGAGCTGAAAAAAAACCCAATAACTGTGCAAAGAGTAATTTTGCTGACCAAAAAAAAAAAAAAAAGGAGAGAAAAGAAATCGAAATAATAGCAAAATTAACTCAAACGAGCCCAACAACAGAAAACCCGAGGCAAATAAAAGCGAGCGGAACAGATTTCCGTGTTTGCTTTTCTTTCTGCACTTGGATCTCTTGTCGTAGCCGCAAGGACTGCAAGGATAGAACACGGAATAGGAATTAAAAGGAAAAGAGGGGGGAAAAAAGTTTGTTGTTTTGTTTTGTTTTTTTGCCTTTTGTTTGTTTGTTTTGTTCTTTAAAAGGGGCAATTTAAGGCAAAGGACGCAAAAGTGAAGGCTGCAGCCCGGGGGAGCCCCGCTCAGAGCAGCGCTGCCGCTTCCCCTTGCCCAGGCTCGGTCCCAGGAGCCGGAGGGATTTTGCTAGGCAGAAAGCTGGGAGCGAGGAAGGGGATGGCGCAAATCACGGGCTCGGAGGGGAGGAAGAGGAAGAGGAGGAGGGTTTGGGGACGGGGAGAGGGAAGAGAAAAGGTCCAGTACATACAGCTCGATGAGTCCACCAGCCCCCAGCCTCCGCTTGTCTCCCTCTCTCTGCCTCTTAAGTCAAAAAGGAAATGCGGTTCTCTCTCTTTTTTTTTTTTTTGCAGAATCAGAAAACGAACCGTCAGGAAGTTGGCAAAATCTCTAACTAAACAATCAATCGAGGAAACGCAACAACTCCGCGCGGGCCGTGAGCTTTTGGCAGGGAGGGCAGCGGGGCCGGCGCGCAGCTCCGCGCAGCGCAAGCAGCGCTCCCATACGCAATACCCGCTCATTCCTGTGTTTTTACCCGACAGAAACTCATCGTCAGGGACCGGTTACGCGCCCGCGGACCCCCAGCATCTCCTGCCGCACAGTTTGGGTACGGCAAAGTGCACGGTAGGGGCGGGGGTTGCCGGACAGATGTACCCCCTCCCTTCCCCTCTTCCCTGGGGCTGCCTGCCCGCAGAAACACCGACATCAGCCCGTCTGTCCCCAAAATGAGCTGACAGACACACCCGCGCAATTATCCGCGGCGTTATCGTCCCTTCTCACGGGCTGCCACAAGCAGAATGGAGAAAGGAGCGAGCTCCGTGCTGGTGTTCCTTCTAAGTGCGTTTCGCGCAAGGATGAGTGCAGCAAAGGGAGGTTTGGGTTTGGTTTGGGTTCGTTTTTCACAGCTATCGCCCCTACTTTCCCCAGGTTTTCCCTATTTCACCCGTTCCTTCCCCTTCCCGTTTCGAAATGCCGGTCTTTGCTTGCTGACCAGACCGAAGGGCTCCCTCCTCCTTAGGCGAACGCAACAAATACATGAATAAACAAGCTACAGGAGCGGAGCAGCATCCCTGGGAGGAAAGTTACTTTCCTTGGGCGACAGTAACCCACTAAAGCCCTGCAAGGGATCTTCTCCGGGGGGAAGGGGGGGGTCATCCAGATGCTGCTGAAAGCGGCTGGAGACCCCCTCCTTGCCCTTCTGCTGTTGCCCCCCGAGGAATGAGGGGCTGGGACTGGGACACCCCTGGGGACAAGGGGGGTTGCCCTCCCCTAGAACTACGGGACACGCTCCTGGGTCACTGCTAAAAGCAACACAACTCCGTATTTTTTAATAAAGAGCGTTCTCTTGCGAGCTGGCCGCCTTCCACCCGCCCCACGGATGAGCTGGCTCTGTAAACACGGAATAGCAGATTAACGCTGCTGTTCTAACCTCGGGACGGGGACGGGACAGGGACCCGTGCCATGCGAAAGCTTTTACGGCCGCTGATCTATGGGCTCCATAGTAGCCCTTTTGTTTGGAGGGGGACAACAGCGCAGAGTCCTGCTGCCACCCCCCCCACCCCGAGCTTGGCTCGGCCCGGCCCGGCCCCTCTCCATCCTCCATCTCCATCCTCTCCGTCCCCATCCCTCCCCAGCCCGTGGCTGGCCGCGGCTCCGGGTATTATCCGCAGCACCACCGGTTGCAAAAAATCGTGCATAAGGAGGCTTTTTCTTTAAATTTTATATTTTTAAAGTATTTTTTTAATGGGTGATGGCTTTCATTTGGCAGCTCAGAAGAACCCGTGGAAAGTGGCAAAGTGAGCTGCCAGTAAGGGGGGCTGCTCTTTTACCAGCTGGAGGGAAACAGGGTGGGGGGAACAGGGTACAGAATGAAGGGGAAATCAGGGAAACAAGTACTGGAAGAAGAGCCCGGGGGGAATGGGGGGGGGGGGAGCTGAGCACTGCAGCCATCCCGCAGCCTCCCCGCAGCCTCCCCTCAGCCGTCACAGCCACCCGCCTGCAACCCAGCCCAGCCTCCAGAAAGAGTGGTTTGTTGGCAGAAAAGGAGTTGAAATAAGAACAAGAGGAGGGGGGGAGGAAAAAAAGGAAAAGAAAAAAAAATATTTTAAAGAAAAAAAAAAGAAAAAACCTAAAAAAAAAACCAGAAAGAAAAGAGAAATAAAGGAAAAAATAAAGGGAAAAAATAAGATAGAAAAAAAAGAAAAAAGAAAAGAAAAAAGAAAAGAAAAAAGAAAAGAAAAAAGAAAAAAGAAAAGAAAAGCAAAAAAGGAAAAAAAAAGAAAAAGGGGGGGGAATAGCAAAAAAATGTTTCCCCCCTCGGAAAAAACAAAACCAAAAAAACCACCTTTAAATTGTGAAATATTTCCCTGAGTAAGGATTTTCCCCCATATCGTTTTACTCTCTCAATCCCTTTTGGTAAATCCCTTCCATGCACGATACATTTGGGGTTTTCCCCTGTGTTTGCCCTTTCTGTGTAACACGGGCATGATCTCGCTTAATGGTTTGACTTGATTTGGCACATCCCCTATGACAGCGAGACGGGGGCATTTAAAAACTATATAAAATCGGAATAAAACAGCAGATGGAAGTTGGAGTACCCGGAAAACCTCTAGACAGAGCACACTGTAGCCAGAATGGGCTTTACCTTTATGAGACGCTAAAAAATGCTGCTATGGACGCTTTGGAGACCTTTGAAATCCCTTCATTTGCTATTTGATGCATTTGACATCCGAGCTCATTGTACCCCCGAGGCGTCCAAAACCTTGAAAATCGGGTTTTATTAACCTAATAAAATGCAAGCACGCAAAATTCGGAGGGAAATATAAGAATCAAAAAAAAAAAAAAAAAGGAAAACAAACAAAACAACCCTAAAACACACACCCTCCCAAACAACCCTCTGACGAGTTTCTGGAACTATTTCAAGGTTGGATTAAATGTGGAGGAGGTGAACCATTTTTTTTTTGGTCAGAATAGGATTTTCCGTTTTATTTATTTATTTATTACAGAGACGATTAGTTTTATAGCAGAATCGCTTTATAGAAGAAATCTAGCATCCCTTTACATTTACAACTGACAAGCTGTCTTCCTTTCCATCTTTATGATATATTTCCCCTCTTCCTTGATTCCTGCATTGCACAATAACTCAGCCATTTTTATGAACAAAGGGGAAATATAATGAGAACCATTACAGCAGCAGTGTGCATTTTCTGCTCCACTAGCAGAGGGGTTTGCATGCAATATATTTTGTTTCAAGCCCAAACTAGCGATCTTAACGTTTTACATGATGGGAAAGGATGTATTTACAGTGTGGCCGTTGTTCTCTGGGACATTGGGATTTTACGGTGCCATAATCATCACCTGGCTGGAGGTACCACCTCCACTTCCCTCCCCTTGATAGACAGCATCCTTCCTCCTGCAGCATCAGGGAGAAGGGAGCCAGATGTTCCCCCCCGGCTCTTCTTTTCCGTAACGAGAACTGTTAACGAAAAACAGAATTAATAATGAATAAGAAGGAAACAATAATAAAAAGCCACCTCTGTAACCGCTATGACTCCCAAAATGTAAATAAGTTCCAAGTTTCCCCGAACGCAGCTGGAATTCCACTGCAGCAGCCTCAGGCTCTTAATGCCCCGGGCACATGTTGCTGGCTTAAAGCAGCGTCTGGTGTTAGAAGAAACCCCACCTTTTTCTATCAGATTCCGCTCTAAAGTGCTTGTTTCCACCAAAAAAAGAGTGTGGTTTGGGGCTCTCTGGGGCATGGCTGTGCTCACGGGCACCTGCCACAGATAGCCGGGGCTGTTCTCACTCTAATTGAGGCACAGGTGCCATAAACTCAGCAGCAATTAACAATTGGTAAATAAGTGTGCAGACTATAAAGCTAAGTGTTGCATCCTTCAGATAACGGCTTATCTATATAGCCATTACACCCACAGTTGCCTCTCTTCCGTGTAGAGAGGCTGGAGGTGTTGGCTTCTATAGGAAAATATTTATCCAGTCCCTTTGGGACAGGAGGTTTTAACCCAGTCTGACTTTATTTGCCAGGAGAAAGCCTTTTCTTGTTTTTATTTGGTGGGTTATCGTGCCATGGATTAAAATCCTTAAAAGCTTGTCGTTTGCCCACAAAACAGATAATCTGTGTGGAGCGACAGGAGTTTTAATCAAGTCTTCAGACAGGTATCTCTTCTGTCATTCCTTCTTGTTAAAGATCATCATTTGACCATATACACTCTTGGTAAAAACTTGGTGAAAGGCTCTTGGTAAAAACAAGCTTTATATATATTCTAGAAAAAGAAAAACAAGAAAGGAAAATAGGAGCCAACCCCTGAAGCACACTGGTCCATGTGGTCCAGCTAAGATAAAAGCAAAGCAAGCAGCAAGTCTCCCTTGGATCTGGGTACCACTCAGGGCCCTGGAGATGGGCACAGGAAGAGAAGATTCTCTGGAGAGAATCTCTCCACACTGGCATCAGTGTACACCACTTCTCTGATCCAGGGTGTTAGGCTGATTCATTAAATACTACGTGGACTAAGGAGATTTAACCAGATTTAGGTGCTGGTCCTTTATCCTCAGTCTTTCTACTTAGAGTTTTATCTACTTAAGAATGGTCTGATGCAGGACGGAGTGCAGGGCGCTAGAGACCTCAAATACCAGACTTGTATTAACGTTCCAACAGCAGCACAAACTAGGAAAATGTTCTGTTATTCTGTTATTTTTCTTGTAAATTTCAAGGTTTAATACAAAAAACAGTATTTGTATATTTTTTAATTTATTTTTATTTATTTTTGATAGATGAGGAAACTGAGGCACTAGTAAAAAAGCGCTATCCAAGGTGTGTTTTCAGTGGTAAAGGATCCCAACATAGGTTATTTGCATTCCAGCCTGGTGCGTTTATACCAAAGCTACTCTGACTTTCAGACAGGAGTCTTCACCTGGTTCTTACTGAAGTGGATGGACATTTTAGTACCGCTTTCAAAGAAGAGCTGAGGAGAGTGGTAAATGATCATTCCCTATTGATCCTTTCTAAACATCTCTCTGTTTCTTTTTTCCTCTTTTTTTCCTTCATGTAAGCAAATCTCCCAGCCCCGGAATTCAGAGTTGGGGGGGTCTGTAGAAAAATGGGAGCACTGGTATGCTTTGGTCCAGAGGAAAGCAAAATAATCAGTCTTCCAAGCAGCATTTTCAAGCAGGGGAAAGCTGCAACCTGAACCCTTTCTCTCAACTAAAACTGTCCATTTTTAGAAGGGTACCCTTTCTGATCCACCTATATAATCCTAAAACATGACAATTTTGCTGGCAGCAGAA